ATAGTATATATACGATTTTATCACATTGTGATTATTGATATGCATATGTTTGGTCACGTGGGTACAAGGCTTTAGCGAATCCCCCAATTTAGAAATAATCCAATTTGAAAACATTTTTGATTGGCTCAGATATAAAATATAATTATTTTGATATAATTATTAATTATATATATGTACCTAACAAATCGATCGCTACACTCAAAACTGCATGATTTAATAAATTTATACAATCAACATTTTTAATTGATCATATTCAAAAACCTACTTCAAAACTCGATAATCGAGAACAAATATTCAAAACGTGACCTAAATATACGAACTATTTACAAACAAAAAAAAATTGAGCTTTAGAAAATATATATACAACAATATATATATCATAACAAGATTATAATGCAATTTCAAACCACATGATCATTAAATCTGTAATCATTTCAATATTTCTTCCTTTGAATGATGTTATAAAATAATCATTGCGGATTAATAATAAATACGTATCCAAAAATTACAACAAAATTATGAAATACCAACCTCTCATATGTATAATTATCAAATTTTTTACTCATACTTATAAAATTCTTATTACAACAAACAAATCGGAATTCTTAGAACAATTCTTGGAATAAAAATTGATCCTTACAGAAATACCTATAAAAATAAATGATTTTAAGCTTTCTTTCTGCTTTTTTTTTTTTTTTATTCTCAATCAAAAAAAAAACAAAAAACAAACAAAATTAATAATAAAAAAATTCACGCCAACAATGCTGGGTAATATTACTGTCCTATGCTATATTAATGATTACAATGTAACGTCATCAAATCTTTCCAGATAGTTGAAGCTTTAGGAATCACGAATTCTCGAAGCTTAAATTCGCCCCAGAAGATCCTTTTAAAAGGATTTTATAATCACGATTTCCTCGAAGAATTTATTCTTCCCAAATTTGAAGAAGGAAATGTTATTTTTGCAACAGGTAAATTTAGAATCATCGAGTATGCAACTGAGGAAGAAAATATTCCAATTCCTAAAGTATAATTAAAAATTTTTTTTTATAGATTATACATTATTATTATTATTATTATTATTTTTTTAGAATAAAAAAAAAAAAAAACTTATACTACTATTACTATTACTTACGATGTTATCTAAACAATAAATATCTATTTTCTTTTAAATATGAAAAAACAAATAATAAATAGATTATTTTAAATGATCTTATAAAACTTGACGTGAATCCGAGCTGCATTTCAGAATTCCCGGTCTTAATCAACATGATCGCAAAAGTACGAAACTCTCCAACAATTAAAGACAATGATGCTATTATGGTAGTTGCATTTACTGATCATATAAATCAAGATTCATTTACCATTGAAATCGACTGTCATTATTTGGCATTAGCACCACATTTAATCCGAATAACCCCTACAATAAAGAAAAATTCTGTTCTTTTTATTAGCAGAGAATTCATCTTATATAACAACAATAGTTAAATACATGTCAATAGCATGTCCTTTTCAGACCAGCAAAAATTATTGTTAAACCCTGTGAATATTCCATGGAAAAACAAAACATCAAGCGAAACAATAAAATCTCAAAGCATCGCTAAAAAAATAGCTGCAAAAATTAACGCAAACAGCAAAATTGAAAATTCATCATCCACAGATAAAGCCCTGTACGTAACTAAACCTTCTTCCGCAACTTCTAAAGCAAGTACTAAAAATAAAGATTTATCATTTATGAACAATACTATCTAAAACTAACACTTCCACCACAACCTCTAAAAACAAAAAAAAACATCTACAATTAAAAATAAACCCTCAATCAAACCTTCCTCTGAAATCACAAAACTATATACACGAACTAGGACCCGTCGAAAGTTGACAGATCTAGCAAAGGAAGCACTAACTAATTCAAAAGAATTAGACGCGATTTTTTCTCCGTCCACTAATACACAATCAGAAATAAACAACACAATTAAAAATGTGCTATAAACAATGATCATGTCTAATGATCTAAATCTATTAATAAACATTTATTCATCTTATTTAAGTAAAAAAAATAAAAATATAATAAACTTTTTTTTTTTTTATCTTTTATATCTTATGTACTTACAAATAATATCTATTAGTCAATTTTATTTTAAAAATAAGATATTTAAATATTTATTCAATATAGTGTTCCTATGAACCGAACTGAAACCGAACTTTGGTCAAGTTCAGGTTCAGGTTCAGTTCAATCATGTTCAA